ATTGCAAAAAATCTGCTTTAACATCTGAGAAGAATATTTTTGACGCGACGGCAATTCGCCCCATCATTACGGTAGGCAGTCTCCGCAAAATAAGTAACATTTTCGGATACGGTAACCCTTGACGAGCACGCACAGGTCGAAGTCGTGTACCGCTACAGCTCTCGAGGGTATCCTATCTTCGACGGCGCACCCTCCACGAATCGCGCTATCGCCTCTCGCCGAAACGATTTCTCGACTTGGATGCATCGTTACGCTTTGGCTAACTGGCCGAATTTCCCGTGTCCATCCCCAAAACGATCGGCTAACGACCGTACGCACGAATGTTGTCGACCCTCCCGCGAATCACCGATGAAACCAACGATATACAGGGTCGGCGGTAATTCGTAGTACTTAGCGGTGATGTTGATCACCCTCTCCTAGAATCTCCAGTGAGACATAAGCTTTACGATGCGCTTAGCTTCCTCAGAATTAACAATTAACCGCGCAACAAGCGTGCGAAATAATTCCGATAAGTTTCGGAGGTATCTTGAAAAGGCGAGCATTCGGGAAGATTTCATTCTATTCGCGTGAAACGAATTTGACAAAGTGCATCAGCGTGCGAAATGTGACAAGCGTAATTTGTTACGGGGAAAGTGAAACAAATCCCTCATATTATTGGCAACGGATGGAGAAATCGTTATTGCGATTCGCTAGGTTCTATCCGCTGGATACATCATAGGGGTCGTACGGACGGTCAGCAACATATCGAGTGACCATCCTTGCTTATCACTAATTCAGAAACGTAGATCCCTGGATATAAAAATAATGTGGTTTATGGAAACAGACGCGTCCTCGATTCGGGTAGACGAAGTTTAGTGGTGGTTACGGCCACCATGACGATGCGAGTACGCGGAATAAATCATAAGGTGATCTCTCCAAGTTTCGCCCGTTATGTGTACACACGGAAGTTTCATGAGGCATAAAAAATTTTTATAATGCAGACAGTTCGTTACTTTTTCGTTAATCTTGCGTCGGATGCGATTGCACGACGCGAGCAACTTTCTACACGGACCGAAAACGTAATAAAAATCTCGGGGCTCGAAAATCCGTTCGGTGGACGCGACGGTAAAGGCGTCGTTTTCCACTCGGAATCACGCCTTACAGCTTATCTCGCCGAGAAAAGGATTAACGACCAACGTACGAGGCTCTTATCGGCATAGAGGTAAACCCCAATGGACCGTGGAACAAAAACGCAACGGCTAATGACGTTGACGCGGCAACCTGTTGTCCAGGCCTTTTGAATGGAACGCACGAACAGGACGGCCGTGCTAATAAATAGCCCCGTCCGGTGGCGCATCTGCGTAGGAAAAACTTTACCCGAAAAACTCGAGCGCCCCTCAGGGGCCACCGCGCACACACCCGCGCTCACCCCCCTGCGAAACAGGAGGCGGTATTATCATTATAATCACGCATCGATGCGCGTTGATCAGCGGTATTGTCATACCAAATGCTGAACTCGAGAGAGCACCGGCAAACACAATGCGAATGCACTATGTGGTTTTTAGCGGCGCCTTTTTGTGAGAGATATACGAGAGATCTTCCCGAGAGATGAGGTCTCTCTGATTTAGATTTATTCCGAGAGCACTAATTAAACATCTGAAATTCAAATCTTTTAATAGCATACAGAAATACGTAATTATATTATCACGATATCGCTGTTAATTAAATAACTGCGTTTTGTATTGAAAATTTTATGCTGAAAATGCTTCCAGATTTAGACAACCGTTCGAAAATGCTCGACCGCTTTAAAGCAATATGTTTAAGCATTATGATTAAGCAACATAACAAAAGAATACTACACAGCGAAGAGCTCTCGTCTCGCTTCGTGTTGTCAACCAATCTTTTGCCGAATGTGTGCAATTAGAACGGTTGACAGGTGGGACGTCTCGATTTGATATAGACGAAAATAATCAGAAGATCACTTCACGAATCGCAAGTGCAAGTGCAAACAAACTTTATCATAGAATTCTAGACACTTCTACTCCGCACATGTTCCGAATTCGCGAGCCTGAGGGATGCTACCCCATATGAGCGTCACATATGTCGAGCTCTCTTCGGCAGGACCCTTCCTGCCGTCCCATGATGTAGTAGTGGTACCTTGATGTCTCGCTGTCAGTGGGGTGCACCTACGGATACTATTACGGTAGGGCAAGTGCGGTTCAATACGCTAACACGCCCGCCTATTTTAGATTTTGCAGAATCATCGACCCAACTCCAAATTCATGCTGTTTCCAAAGCCTGACAGATATAGATTTTCAATAATAGAAATTTAAGCAGCATTCTTATACCGTTGAAAGTATTTCGAGAAAATCAGTAATGCATTTATTATTATTTTTATTTTAAAAGGATAATATTTTATGTGATTGTATTAATTAATAAAACTGTACAATCAAAAATTATATAGAAAATAAATGATCGTTAGATAATAGTTTTCAATAATTCTCAATTTCTTATCGATAGTCTTTTTACCCGACATACGATATATTTTGTTAACTATTGATACACGGACTACCAAGTTTGGCAATTGAATCGAAAATCCTGTTGACAGTTTTATCCGCAGGCACGTCCCCTTAAACGGGCATATGCAGGGACAAGTTCTGGAATAAACAAGAAAACCAGAATCGAAATATTATCATAGCCGAATAATAGGCTTAGAAGGTAAGCTAACTAGAGGGTATACCTACGCAAACCGTAGCAATACTGTATCACACGACCCTTCCAATTGGTAATTGGATTTGACCGGTGCGGTGATGTTCATTTGACATCATTGGGACATTTAGGTGCGTCGACACCGCTCGCTATTGGATTAGTAGAATATTTAAGAAGTGCGTAAGATCTATTTATTATTCGATATCCATCCATCTTTTCTAGATCAATACTATCGATACTTATATTAAAAAACTTATTGCGATAAGGAAGCAAATTTTTATAAGATATATTAAAAATGATTTTATTGAAAGACGCGTAATATTTCGAATTCAATTCCAACAGTTTTTTGCAAATTAAAACGATTCTTTTTTTAAGGACCGAAGCATAACAGAGCAAACAGTATCACTTCCATTTCTAAATGGCTTCTCATACTCCAGAGTCGCCTCATTGCCATAAGGTGGCAATGTTACAGGCCGTTGGGCAGCTGAGAGGGATCTCATGAATCACGACGCTGAAAGAGAGACTTCAGAAAAAAAAGAGATTGAAACCGGTTTGGCACGCGCGCATGTCGAGTGTTTCGTAATGATGCCTGCAGACCCTCATTAAGCTTCATTATCTTGCCGTGTGATAAACATTAATCGGCAACCCTTGACACTTTGTATATAATAGGTATAAGTTACGTAGCTTTCGTAATTATTCACTGCTGAATTTGATTTCACACTAGTGTTAACAAATATACGAATATACGAATATTTTGATTTCAATTTAGTACTGAAAATTTTTCTACCAATTGCGATTACTTGTTTTATGATAATGTGTAGCGTATTGATATCACTCTTGGGTTGCACACGATTAAAATTAGTACGTAGCACGACAGATAGCTAGAAGAGAATATTTAGAAATGTTTGCAAATGCAAAACAGTCAAAGAAGTAGATTCAAGACGGTTGAAGTGGAAAAAAAGGGAAAAGAGCCAAATTACCCGGCACAGAACACATTATCTCCACTTGATAGGCCCCACACCCTCGAAGCAGTGGCTCTCCGACGTAAATTGCTCGAATAAGATTTCGGGAAGAACGCGATTTTCTTCGCGTCTTACACTAGTAAGAAGATTGCGAAACACTGCGAGTTTCTTCTTTCTTCTTTCCCTTCCAACTTCGCGATTGCCTTTATTCCCTCCATCACATAAATTTATTCAAACAAATTCTATAATTACTTTTTCGACCCAACTGCCATTCGACTCAAGATTTATATACTCGATTACTTAGCAATGCTCAACATTTTTGTCGTTGATCTTATAAGTTTATGATAAGTTTAAACTTTTCAAAAAAAATTAAATTAAGATAAAATTGTATTATCTTTACAAATATTTCTTGAAACATAAAACATTTCAGGTGAATAATGATTCAACATTTTTATCACGCGTATCATATCTGAAAATTAATTAATTGCTTTTTTCTAAAAAAAACAAGAACTGATAAATATATGTATAAAATATTAATGATCAATTTGTTGAAGCAAATTTCAATATATCAATATCAACTTTAGTTTACACGATCTGCTTATTCCGGCAATTTGCTCATTGCATGTAATTTAATTTCTTGATGCTTTTAATATTTAAATTATTTGGCATAAAAAGTATATAAAAAGCGGAAAAGTATATTTAAAAAATTATTTTTTAAGAAACTGTAAGTTATACAACTGCGAAAAACTCATCAAAAATGTTGCATTACAATAATAAAAACTTTATGTACAACTATTCACATCTACCTATAATGTTTAACGTTAAAAATAATATATCGAGAATGCGACAAGATGGTTCGCAAATATGCTTGTTGAAGAATACGGTAATTATTTTAAGAAAAATAAATGTCGCATCGAGAAGAAAATAAAGAGATTGCAAAAAATGTTCATTTAGACGACAGAAAATGCAGTTTTTCAACATTTTTCAAATAATTAATTTCTATAACTTTTGTATATATACCTAGCGAGACAGAGCGTCGCAGCATCGACCTTATGCGTGCTACGGCTCGCGCCGGAATAAGCAGCCTCGTAACGTCGCCGTCGCGGCGCCACAATTCTTGGAATCCGAGATGGGCGTCGGTGGAAGCGCAAACGGCTCCATCCATTGGTCGGGTGGATCGCAGTGGATTGGTGAATTCTACGAAATGGGCACGACTATGTGAACGGACTGGTTGCTGCGCCGTATCGCTCGTGGCCGCGCCCACCACGATACTCGAGGTCCGACCCTACTGGGACTTGCTGGCGCACCGCTAGTGCTGGTCCTGACACATTCGACAAGCGGCGCCGTAACGGAGCAACGTGCGACTGGGGACCTCGAAGGACCTCTCCGCTGGTCACGAGACATGCCTGCGACGTTTTGGCGGCGACGATAATACGCACCAGGGTACCGCCGGCAAGTGCTCAGATTACCACCGTACACGTTCGTGTTCCAAACATCACTACCGGGTATAGGAATCACAGAACGATCTCGAAGGAGCAGTTACGAAGACGTCTCTGGGGAAAGCGCGTTCAAAAGGCAGCCGATGACTTTCGCCACGAGGTCCACTTCAGACACGCGGTACGTCGCATAGAGAGTGTGATACAGCAGTGATAAAAACCCGCGAACATTCCACCGACGCAGAGTACGAGAGACACAAATTCGCGCGGGCAAGTGAGAACAGTGCATTGTGAGACGCGAACTCGTGGCACGCACTTTCGGACGCATGTGCACCGGCACGCGGTCGGTGCGCCCGACTTGACGGTGCAGCCCGGAACGACGCGACACCCCGTCAGTGGTGAGCGGACATTCATGCACCGCCACGGGCTACCGGCCGCTGGCGTATCAGTGATAACGATTCATGCACGATCCTAAAGAAACGTGGCACCGCGCGCATCCGCTTTGACGGAGAGACAACCGGTGGAGTCTCTCGCAGAGGCGCGAAGGGGTAATCGAGGGGGCGACGAAGGTTCCTGCAAAGAGTGGCAACGCGAAGGAGGAAGCCTGTTGCCCCAAGAGAGTCCTTACGGCCTCACCACGCGGTCCGACGAGTGGAGCAGTCTCCTGCCCAGCTCCACGATCGTGGGTGCTGGGGGGTCGCCATGGCTCGGACTCGGCGCCGGGGGTGGTACCGGGGCCACCACGGGGGGTGGAAGCCCCGTCGAGCTCGAGGGGCACTGGGGACGTAAGCTGTACGGCGCGAGTGTGGCACCGCCGCCTCCGCCACCTCATCATCATCCACGGGCACCGCTGGTTTTCGCGCCTCAAGATATGAGGCAAATACTGAAGGAGGAACCTGTGCCACGTGCTTGGCCGCAGCCCGCTCTCACCGACAACGGAACGTGAGTACACACAAAAATATATGTTATCGTAAATCTTTGAACGTTTGACGGAGAGCAGTTGGTGTATGAGATATGTGAAATCATTATCTATCAGCGATTAGATAAAATAAGTATAGATATTGTCGAGAGAATATATCTCGCTGAATAGTAGTTTCCGAGAAGTTCCTTTTTTTCTGTTTAAATTTGTTATCGGAATATAATGATCAGTTTATCGAAGATACATCTACATTATTTCAAGAAATTTTATGTGTGACATGCGTGAACGAATGAAAGTTGTTTTGTTTAACTATATAATTTTCGAATTCGCACATGAAACAATGACATAATTTATTTGTAAATGTAATGACAATAATTTGAAAGAAAGAAAATAAAAATATTTTACACAATATTTTTGCTAGCGAGTAAATTTATCGCATTACGCAATAAAACTTCCAACCAAGTTTCTATCTTTATCTTGTAGAATGCTATTTTCTATATTTTATAAAATGCTATATTCTAAAAAAACCGGATATAAAGTATTTTCAAAACTTGTGACGTGTCAGTACTTCATCAATCATCATCATTATTTAACAATAAGAAAAAATATTTATTATATAACGTTAAGATTGCTCCGTTTGTTTTTAATTCAATCTAATCAAATAATTTAACAAAGCATGCGAACGTCAAAATGTAAAAATGTATTTATCTTTAATATAGGAATCAAAAATATGTTTGTGCTGCACTATAACGTTTGCCGTCGGATCGCACGACGAGTTATATCCCTGTACAATATTAGCAACTTGATATTCACTAAAATTGTAACAATTTTTATTACTGTAAGTGCTTAATAAAAACTAATTTTGCACAAATATGCAAATTATAAATTTGTTAAAAAATAAATAAATTATTTTATCTTCAACAGAAAAATTTCGTATCCAAAAAATTCATATAGTAAAATTCATATCCTAAATTATATTGACAGATTAAATCTAAAGCCTTGCATTTCAAACTTGTTAGCTAAATTTTTAAAATATGTAAAATGAAAATACTTTTATTGTCCAGAATTTGGTGAGAACTAAAATCTCTATTCATACAATAAAATATGTATGTATTTCTTTAGGTCCTAACATAAAACCGATTAAATACGATTTATTCATGGTTCAGCATTTTCTTTTGCATCATTTTCAGATTTTCTTTCACCATTGAGTTTCTTCTATCACAAAACTACCATCGCATTTCACATTCGCATTCCGCATTCAACATTCAGATGACAATATTTGACAGCTGACAACAATGACCGTTTTTCATCGTCAAGCGGTATACGAAGAAAACAAACGCCCGCTTTATCTTCACGAGCATACCATTTGAAAGCGTGCGGTGGCACACGTTCCTGCGTTTGACGAACGATAAACCGTGCTTTATTGCAGCTTCGCTTAAGGGATTTGTACGACGTGCAAACGACGAAGATACCTACGACGACTCGGGAAGGTAAACCGGGTGAGCCGGCGGATTCGCTAATCCAATAGCGGTTCTCTTAACTAATCCCTTCCTCCAAGTACCGTGACACGGAGACCGACCGGAATTGAGTTAATGTAATTGAGAATTTTAGCGCCTTTTGTTCATCGCCTTGTCCCGAGCTTTCCCCGTACTTTCTCTCTCGTTCATCCAATGGTTATTCCTTCGGGCTATCCGAGCTAGCCTCTCTGCGAAAGAAAGACAAACATTTTGACCCGCAAACCCAGAGCGTGAAAATTTTTATTAAAGCTGTTCGCGTACTGTATTATTTTTTTGATCGAAAATGAAACTGCATTTATCACTTAAAAATCTCACTGAACGTAAATTATAATGTAAATTTTGCTTTAGAATAACTAAAATTGAAAAATAAAAAATCCGAAAAAATTTATATTTACATAAATTAAATATTATTACAGATCGAAACATGATTATCGATGAAAGAAGCAATCGTAAGTGATTCAATTATTGTGAGATACCTAAATTGAGTGTTAAATTTCGCAGCATGGATTTTCTTTTTGTTAAACTTAACTAAATCAATGTTGCGGCAGTTTCAGATAATTGCCTTACAGGAGTTTAAGAGTCACAAAATGTTAAGCGTCAACTTTCGCCTTCACGGAAACTCAAACTGGAAAGTTTCGTTTCCTGCTACGAGAAACGGTTGTACCACACAACTGCGTTACACCGAGATCAACTTTGGGAGGAGGTCTGCGAAACTGTTTTAAAACTCGCGAAAAACAGGCATAAACTCTCACGCTTTTTAAAAACCCGTAAAAAAGTTATCCACCTAATGAAGCAGTAAACCACCGCACACAACTGAAGGGACTGTCGCGCGGCGGTAAAACGATGGCTTCTCGTATGAATCAGAGAGAAAGGAAGAAGAACGAGTGGGAGCAAAAATTGCAATCAATCTTCAAAATAGTTGCTCTGACAAATCTCAACATAGGCACATTGCAATGCACATACGCACGAATCGTACTATTGCATACTGCGTATTGCAGTAAGAACTGATTCAAAATGCTTCCTTTATAAAATTTTCAATTAAAGTTAATAATTTAAAGACAATTATAAATCAAAATATCAAATGTTTAACGTATTTTAATGATTCACATGCTTTGATATAATATATAATTATTTTAACTTAATTAAAACATGGCAAAATTATTTATTATTACGAGGATTCTCATGCGGAGTGTTTGTGAAATATACATGCGCTCCGTAGGGTGTTAATAACTAATAGATTTTTATGCGGTAGAAGCTACGGTGAAACACAACGCTAAATTGAACAACGCTCTCGCAGTAACGCGCGCCGGTAGCAAATTACATTCGGATATATTACAAATTGCTCATTATCTCCGCGCGCATTATGAATCGTGTTGGGCGCGAGCGTAAACAGAGTACGCTTCGAGCAACTCGCAATAACTAACGCCGCGTATTACCCGCGGATTTATCGTAATTCTCTACGATTGCTTTATCCGCGAATTCGTAACCATATCGGTGGGTTTGTATTATCCACATATTTCGTACATAATGCATGGCGCGCAAATAGCATAGGTCGCGTCACGTGTATGAAGTATAAGCAGCATCGATCGGCTATCCGGCAAATCCGCCGGTTCCTCGCCGAGCGCGAGACTTCGGAGATTGCGCTCCGTCATCGTTTAAATGTCGATTACGTCGTTACCGTGTACGCGCGGTGATTCCGCAGATTTCGCGGGAATGAAAAAGCTCCGTCGCAATTTCCTCTAACGCGATATAAAGCGCAATTCTCTTCATAACTTCATGCCCGCACGGTTCGTAAACCGCGCGATGCCGCCGCTTTTATTCGCCGGTACACGTATAATCGCGCGATACTCGTGACCGGCCTCGTACCGGTCTTGCGATTCCTCTCGCGATCGAGAACACGCTGTTAAGAGTCGAGTTATGGCGTCCCACATCTTCATTTGCGTATTTGAATATGCGTCGCGCTTTAGGATATCACCGTTGGTCGATCGGAATCTGCAAATCGAATTGCACGGGCACTTTAACCGACGCGAAAGAATAATCACGCGGTGGAATAACGGCGGGGAGGGTCGAATGATTCGCAGGTGCTGGAACGAGCGGCGTTATCTGCGAGCCGAAAGCGCACGCGTGGTAAATTGCACGCACAAATACAGTAAACGCGAATGGAGCCGTAATTATCACCTCGGCGTCGGTTGGTAGGCCGAGCAACACACGCGGCGGCATAAGCGCATAAAACGCACGTTATCCGCATATATTTGTGCGATATAACGCAAGCGTTTAAGTATTTATGCGACACTGTAAACAAGAAGCGGCACAGAAAGTAGTCGTTTAAAAGATGAATATTAAAAAAACCCGATAAATTATGAAATAATTGGCGAACTGCATCATGCTACGTTTTACATATCGCTTTTCTTGGAAATATTTAATTAATTTAATTAAAGATCAACAAATTGCATCTACATTATAAATTTTAAAATTTTACTGTTGCGATATCAATACGATCTATAGTATATCTGATTAAACAAATAACTATTTTAAAAATTAGTCGGTGTAATACTTTATAAGTGGTAAATTTTTCGTTCAAAAATATTTCGATTATACACAGCGTATACTATTTTTTATTTTGTATTATATTACAATATAATGTAGCCATAAAAGTTTGAATTTTGAAATAGATTTATGATGTTAGAAGAGAGAAAAAGAAAGGAAGAAAAGAGAGAAAGCGCGTGGCACTCAAACGCGATGTTGAAAAAATTTATTTAAACTTAGAAACCAATTTCTTCCTACTAATTTATGAGGTGAGTTCGCACACACGGATAATCGCATGCGCATTATTGTCATATTAGCGATACGAACTGCACGCGTATGCGCGTGGTTTTCCGCAATCCTCGATAGTTGCTTCAAAAGGTGTGGTGGTGTGTAGCAATGCGGGTGATAATATAACGGTGCGGCAGGACGTGCCTACACGTTATATAGGAATTGGTGCATGGCAAACGGGGCAAAATAATCGGACGTCGAGAGTTATGGGGCGCGAACCGGCGGCCGGTTAATCAGCCACCGATAATTATCGACACGGGCAGTACATCACTCCCCTTCCTCTCCCAACGCATCCACCCCTCGGTCCTCCGCCGCGATCCGCCGTTTCCCGAAAGCCAGCGTTGCAACCCCTTGCAACCGACCCCTCAACGTCCCCTCGCGCGTCCTCCCTCTACCTGCCGGCGGCTCGGCATCCCACCACCTGGCGTGACAAACGCACCGCCGATACCATCATTTATTTCGCAAATGTGCTGCAAAACTGCCGCTATTCATTTTCGGTCCAGTCGATTCAGTTTTCCGCTCCGAGGGTCCGCCCTGATGGCCGTGCGCGCAGCTCTGTACATTCGTGCGATGGTTTTATCGTTTCGCGACGGCACGATCACACAGACCGGCGCCGATAATGCGATTTCTCGGCGGTGATTTTTAACTGCCGACTGATTGCCGACGAATACACGTTCTATCGCAAAGTCGAAAATTCTTTAAGCGACAGCAATTATATTTATTGCCGATTGACAGAGATTTGTCTTTGGAACTTTGAGAACTTTAAGAAATTTGTTGAAGTTTGTATTATGCTATATTATTGCGAAAAAAAAGACAAGAATAAAATAAAGAGAGTTTTAGAATATAATAAAATTCTAATAATGTAATAATGTAATAACTATTCTATTGAGTGTTGATTATTAACGCCGGTGACACGAAGAAGTAACAAAATGGTAATAAACACGCTCGAATTTTACGAGATCAATCCGAGCTTGATATCCGCATGCGGGCTACGCGAAGCAACCTACTCGAAAAGGGGTCTTTCTGTGCCATTACTCAAAGATGGCATTGGAGTCCGCTGGCCTAATCTCGGCACATGAGACCTTAATGGGATTTTAAGGCGTCGAGGCCACCTGCGCGCTTCCCCACCGTCGACCTCGTTTGTCTTTCCTCTCTGCCGGTTTGGGCATTCTTATTGCATCCAAGGACGGGATTGATACACCTCTTTGACTCTGCGACGGAGAATATCGCTTAAAGTTCCACTCAATTTTAAATTTTAAATCAAAATTCAAGAATTATTCGCGCTTGTTCGAATAAAAATTAGCATTATCTTTATATTAATATAAATTGATTCGTTTAAAAGAGTCGCCAAGTCACAGACAGTTGGGTGTACATATGCAATAACAAATATCGCTACACATTTATATTATGAATATTATAGTATGAAAAACACATTTCAAAATGGACGATTGTAAAATGTTGCCTCTAAATAATTGCAGGGTTGGCGTGGGCCGCGCGCACTTCGAGAAACAACCGCCGAGTAATCTGAGGAAGAGCAATTTTTTCCATTTCGTAATCGCCCTTTACGATCGACATGGCCAACCGATCGAGATTGAGAGGACGTCGTTCATGGGCTTCGTCGAGAAGGATCAGGTAATGGTTCCCGCTATTACGTTCCACGCGCCGTCCTTAAAACTTCCACTGTCGGGCCGATTGATCCGTCGATGCGATAATCGCGGTGCAAGTTACTGTCCTAAATCGTAACGGCGCAAAAAAATGATTCGCACGCGAAAGCTTCGGAAACCCGATCGCGTCGGGACATTTTTCTTTCGTGCGCGCGCGCGCGCGCGCACGCGACGATAAAGGATCGCGGCGAACGAGCGCCGGCGAGTTTGTGAGCACCGGTGGAAATGAGCGACGATAGCGGGTGATAAGTTCGGAATTTCAATGCTTCGCGCTAACCGCCGCTCTCCCGGGAGGCCGGATGGAAAAAAGGAGAGGAGGCCCTTTATGACGCCGGGGAATATCGTGCGAGCGCGCGCTTATCTCGATAATTGCCGTTTCCATCGGGGCCGGCGTCAAATATTAAACAGCAACGCCTACGCGTGTACGCGCGGTACGCGCGGTATCGATGGTCCGTAGAATCCACACCGACGTCTCTTTTCCGACAATTAGTCAGGTGAAAATCCATCGGCCGCGTGAGAAATGGACGCGCGCGCGATGCAGGATCGCGAGGGATGGTCACGCGAAGCGAATGACCTACGAATAATAAAGAGCACTCTTCGAGTACCTTTCCACCCGCCTTCGATCGGAGATTACGCTCAGTCGGACGTTTTATTAGCCGGGCGCTCACGTGCGCGTGCGCGCGCGAAATATCGGCCTCGGCGAGAAATTACCGTAATTGCTGACAATACGGTTGGCAATTAATTATATAGCATTAATTTTATAACGATGAATTCTGTCGTATGCTTATACATTTTATCGCGCGATACGATATGCGTATGCCCTTTGCTCATACGCTTTTAAAGGCTTTTCACTTCACGGCTATGAAACGCGACGGAGTTATTTTTTACGTTCAATTTCGTTATCTGGATATCACAGCTAAGTCGCCGATCATAAAGACGACTCAAGCAAGAAACAATGCTATTATAGAGATTGCATTTGAATAATTATAAATTTTTCTATTTGAACAATCAGAAATGATTCTATTATATATGTATATAGAAATTGGACAGTGACAACCGCTGAATAATCTCATTATACTTATCAAATTGGCAATAAACGCGACAACTCGTTAAAAATCATCGACAGCTGCGAATCCAAGTTCCGCTTGTGAAGTTATCGAACGAACGCGGCCCCGAAAGATTTCTCCCAAACGGGACGCGATTGTCAGCGCTCAGTCATCGTTAGAGCTCCACTTTCTATTGGTCAATTAGTCTAGCTCTTTAAGGAGAAGTTAACTGCCGGCGTGCTACGCGCCGTCCATTCTTGCGTAAGAGAAATCGTTACGTTGAGAGAGACAAACGACCGGGTGCGGATTTGCACAAGGTATACGCATCTCTGGTATTTACACGCAGAAGAAGCAGAGTGTAATGTGCTGTGCGGTTTATAGCGTTACATCGAGAATCGATCGATCGGATTTACGATACGTATGCACGTAGCGCAAAGCGCGCACGATACACCAAACAACCGAGGGAAATCCAGATGCACGGGCACGAGGACGAGCCAAGGTCCACGCGCGTATAAATTATCGAAACGTAATCCCGGCCGTAACCTCTGGAATTCTGGCGAATCCCGTACGTATAACGACGATGCTCTGTCGGAAGTCCCTCTGTCCCGCTCGCGTCCTCTGCCTCCCTCTTTCTCTCCCTCTATGCCCCGGGGTAACGAGGTACACCCCCT